TACCATTGCTATGGTTTGAATGTATCACTCAAAATTCATATATTGGACTCTTAACCCCCAATCCAAAATGCTATTCAGAACTAGTTTCTGATAAGAGATTTTTAGGATACTGAATGGATTAATATGATTATCACGGGAGTAGGTTGGTTGTTGCAGGAACGAGTTTTTTATCAAAGCAAATTTGACCCCTCTTGTCTCATACTCATCTTCTTGCCCTTCCCTGTTCGATCATGGGATAATGCAGCATGAAAGCCCTCTTGAGAAGTGAGTCCCTTGCTCTTGGACTTCTCAACTTCCAGAGCTATGAGAAGTAAATTTCTTTTCTTTGTAAGTTACCTCATTGTGGTATTCGGTTATATCAACATAAAACAACCTAAGATGACAAACTCTGTTAGCATGTTGGTGTACTCATATTTACTTCTTTTTTTTTAAGATTTATTTATTTATTTGATAGAGTTACAATTGAGAGAGGAGAGGCAGAGAGAGAGAGAGGTCTTCCATCTGCTGGTTCACTCCCCAGTTGGCTGCAACAGCCAGAGCTGTGCCCATACGAAGCCAGGAGCCAGGAACTTCTTCCTGGTCTCCATGTGGGTGCAGGGGCCCAAGGATTTGGGCCATCTTCTACTGCTTTCCCGGGCTATAGCAGAGAGCTGGAATGGAAGTGGAGCAACCGGGTCTCAAACCAGTGTCCATATGGGATGCTGGCGCTTCAGGCCAGAACGTTAACCCACTGCACCACAGCACGGGCCCCACTCATATTTACTTCTATCTTTTCTTCTTGCCAACATTTAACAAGTATTTGCTGAATTCCTTGTAAGTATTAATGCCCAGTGATAGTTTCTGGAAATGCTATGGTATACCTGTCATGACATAATCCCTGCCCTCCTAATGCGTATATCCTGTCAGGTGTAAATAGATATGTGACATGGGAGCTATAGAGGATAAACCCAAGGTACTGTTAAAATAAATAGCAGGGAAACTAAACTGGTTTGGTGGTTCTCAGCAAGTATTTTTGATATTTTTGAAAATGTGAATTGAAATCAGTCTTCACTTGATTCCAACCCTGTTGCAAGTATATATTCTCACTTGTTCTCTCTCCCTCTATTCCATTGAGATTCCAGGAGTAACAATGATCCCTGTGTACATACAACTTCATATATGAAAAATTAACATTCTTTAAAAAGCTACTATGATAATCATCATTTCTGATAAAAAGTTAACTAGACCAAAAAGAAGTAGTTCTTCAAAATGTTGATTATGCACTTAGTTCACTAAGGACAGAAAAGACTAGCATTTCCTAATTATTTTTATGATAATAGAAAGTTGCTGAATCAGTTGTTATAAATACAGAAGGACTTTTCTAGTTTTATAATTAGTATTACTCAAATGCAATTAGCACAGTTCCATAGCAATTTTATAGCAATAATTTATATTCATATAGTTAGTTTCATCAACTATTTAAAGAATGACCTTCCTAATAAAATAACTATGCTTTATTTGTACCACAATGAAATATATAAACATGGAGAGTAACATAGATAGATGGAATATTACTATAATCCTATTTAATTAAAGTAGTAAATTTATATCAGAATATGAAGCCTTCTAATTTTTTCTTTCACCTCCCTTGTATACATTAGCTATTACCATATTTTGAACTTGTTGGACTAGTATCAGGAAGTAAGCTGAGGAAAATATGAAATTATATTTTGTGTTCAAATCACTCTTTTAAAAAACATGGCAGATAAGCTCTTGAATGTTTTGAGCATAAATTTTTCATCATAACTATTATTAGATTAAATACATTATTGTATTAATGTGTTGGAAAATCTAGGCTTATGAAAGTCTGTTTTTGACGTAGTTTTTGATACATATAGCCAAAATGTATATATCCCTCCAATAGAATATTGTATACACAGTATAAAATTATGTTATCAGACCAAGTTTTATGATATTACTATGGTATAATCTGAAACTTAATTTTGAGACTCATATCAATCATAGTAATATCAGATAGGAAATATATTTGCTCCTTTGAAAAGAATCTCTTTACTTCTTTAATAATTTTTTGTAAATATGTTTATTATCTCCCATTCTTTCAGGCTCACACCTTGTCCTCATACCTTCCCCAGAAACTATTACGCCCCTTTTTTTCTAAGAAAAATTTCTAAATAGTTACCTACTCAAGAAAGACCTCCAGTTTTTCTTTTTCCTCAAAATTGGAAATGTTCACTAAAAATATGTGGAGCACAAAATATTGCATACTTCTGATTATAGTCAAGTACAGATAATTCTCAGAAGTCTAAACTGAAGTTTGGATGAGAACTTGGATTTGTCTATCTGTAGTTGTGGGTATGAGGTAACATAAATGCACATTTTTAACAAGAACATAGAACTCTGCTGTGTGCAAGAGTTTTCCTTTTACTATATAGTCAGCTTTCTATTAGGAATTTCTAGCATAAACAGGACTTGAAAATCCAAATAAGAAGTTGAAAAATATTGTTTAAAATAAATGCAATTGACTCACTCTTTGTGTAAATCAATGCCACAACTCTTTTTTGTTTATTTTTATTCATATTGAAAGCTGAGAAAGCAAGATAGAGAACATACGTGTTGTGTGAGGTGGGAGTTATACTTTTATGTTGCAAAAAAGGTTTGATTAAATGCAAGCGTGCATCAAAAAGTTTGTGGAAGGTGGGATTAAAAGATAAATTTATTCTTCATATACAGTTTCTTTGTAATACAGATTTTTCATAAACTAATCTTTTCTATTTTAGGCAGAGCAACAGAGAGAGACAACATAGAGTAAGACAGATCTTCTCCCTACTGGTTCTCTTTTTTTTTTTTTTTTTTTTTGCCAGGAAGAGTTAGACAGAGAGAGAGATGGAGAGAAAGGTCTTCCTTTTCCGTTGGTTCACACACACACATCCCCCCAAAACATGCCACAGCCCGAAGCCAGGAGCCAGGTGCTTCCTCCTGGTCTCCCATGTGGGTGCAGGGCCTAAGCACTTGGGTCATCCTCCACTGCCCTCCCGGGCCACAGCAGAGAGCTGGACTAGAAAAGGAGCAACCGGGACAGAATCTGGCGCCCCCACCGGGACTAGAACCCCGGTGTGCCGGTGCCACAGGCAGAGGATTAGCCTAGTGAGCCACGGTGTCGGCCACTACTGGTTCTCTTAACAAATGGCAGCAATAGCTGGAGCTGGACCAAGCCAAAGCTAGGAGCTAGTAACTCCAACCTAGTTTCCTATATGGGTGGCCAGTGCCCAAGTACTAGAGCCATCTTCTACTTGCCTTCCTAGGCACATTAGCAAGGAGCCAAACAGCCAGGACTTGAACCAGCACCTCCTTGTGGGACACCAGCATCATAAACAGCAGCTTAATCTGCTGTGCCACAATGTCAGACCCCTTATGAACTTTTGAAGCTCCTTCCTATAGGAGTTAGAAAACATAACACTTAACAAAAAGCTCAGAGGTAGTAGTATCACCAGCCCAAGAGTGTCAGGAATGATTTCACTATGAATTTTTGCTATTTCCATTATGATTCAAGCTATAGCTCTAGCTGATATACCCATGTTCTAAAGTTAAAGAAGGGTGAAGTCCAAAATACCATCTTCCATTCCCTCTTTATTTTGAGCAGGGTTTGTTGGCTACTACTTCACCAAAATGACTCTTTTTAATATCACTTTACATTGCTGCTTATTAAACTGTTACTTAACATCTCACCGTCATTTGACAGTGTCCACCACTCCCTTTCCCTTGGTTTCTGTGACCTCCATGCACTCCTGATCTCCTTCCCTTTATGCATCATTGACAGCTGTTTTTCAGTCTTCTTGGCTAAGTTTTATCATAAAAAACAAGGACTCTTCTGTATTAATATATGTCTGGATGATTGCATAGAATTTCACATGATTTCATATAAGATTTTTAATACAATTCTTAAATTCTTTCCCCCAAAATCTAAGTTCATGTGTTCAAATGTATACCTGACATTTCCATTGGTTGGATAAATACTCACTCATACTTAATGTTGTCATACTAGAATTCTTGATTTCTTGATTCTTCTCCACTCCCATCACAATTTATTTCTTCAGTAGTATTTCCCATCTAAGTACCACCACTTTGGGACGCCAAAAGTAGAGGGATCATGCCTAATTCCCATCCTTTGACTATTCCCCATGTCTGTCTGCCATAATTCCAAAGCATACCATATTTCTTTCCATTCCCACTGTTCCTCCTAGAGTCCAAATCACCATTTTCCTTAACTAACTACTGCAATAGCCTTACTTCTATTGTCATATTTTTATTCTTCTCTAACCGCTACCCTTCTTTTTCTATACTGCAACCAGAATGAGCTAAAAACTTAAAACCAAATCATGTTACTTAAATTTTTAAACCCTCCATTGATTTTTCACTGTAAATCAAATAACTAGTATGGGCCTCCGTGGTCACACCTAACATGTTATCTCATGCTATATATCTTAAATTTTATGATGCTTAGATATACTGAGCTCATTTTAGTATAGGGCTCTATCCCTTGTTCCATATGCATGGCTAATATCTTCTCTTGCATTAGTGCAAGACTGGCTCATTCAAATCATTCAGGTCTCCTGAACTCATGTGCATGTTTAATTTGTAAACTCAAAAACTAATGGACAGATGCCGGCGCCATGGCTCACTAGGCTAATCCTCTGCCTTGCAGCGCCAGCACACCGGGTTCTTGTCCCGGTTGGGGCACCGGATTCTGTCCCAGTTGCCCCTCTTCCAGGCCAGCTCTCTGCTGTGGCCTGGGAGTGCAGTGGAGGATGGCCCAAGTACTTGGGCCCTGCACCCCATGGGAGACCAGGATAAGTACCTGGCTCCTGCCATCGGATCAGTGCGGTGCGCCGGCCGCAGCGTGCCGGCCACAGCGGCCATTGGAGGGTGAACCAACGGCAAAGGAAGACCTTTCTCTGTCTCTGTCTCTCACTGTCCACTCTGCCTCCTGGTCGCAGAAAAGAGAAGAAAACAAAGGCCTAATGGATAGAAACTTAATCCAATTATGTTTAGAAGGTAGGTCTAGTGAGATGTCCTTTGGTCACTGGGGGCCTGCTCTTGGAAGATAGTTCTTTTGAGAGAAATGGTTATAAAACTGGAGTTGGGGCGAAGCCTTTTGGGAAATGAAGTCTTCTTTTAAAGAACTTGCCACTCCGCTGGATCCGGGGCCCTTGCATCTTGATGGAGTCGAAGCATTGGAAGGAAAAAGAACCCTGATACGGACCCCGAATTTGAGGGTGTGACCCATCTGACGTGAACTGAGCGTTCTCTTGAGTGGAAAGTGTGCTACAAACTCAGTCTCCTCGCGCTTCGTCCAGCCGCGGCTCTGGAGTGGGCCTGATTTTTTTTTTCCAGACCCTAGCACACGATCCTTGGGACCGGACAGAACTGTGGTATGGGGGCGCCCCGAGGCCGGGCTACTGAACTTGGGTACAAACTGAGGAGAGTGTTGAGGAGGGTGTCCAGAATTCAAAGGTCAGAGGTTGCAACCCCAGCTGTCAGCAGGGCGAGGAGATGGCTTCTCCCTCTGTCGGGGGGTCAGGACTGCTTCAAGGGAGCCAGGCTCGTTCTTACGGAAGTCTGGTGCAGTCGGCCTACTCCCCAGTGAGGGAAAGATGCCTGGAGCATCAGTTGGAGCCCGGAGATACCCTGGCTGGACTAGCTCTCAAATAGGGAGTGGCGATGGAACAGATTAAGCGTGCAAACCGCCTTTATACAAATGACTCCATCTTCCTGAAGAAAACCCTCTACATCCCCATCCTGACAGAGCCCAGAGACCTGTTCAATGGTTTGGATTCTGAGGAAGAGAAGGATGGAGAGGAAGATGTACACCCAAATAAGGATGACGTCTGGCCACACCCAGCTGAGAGGAAGAAACAAGAGACAGGTGCAGGACGTGCCAGTGGTGAAGTCCTCCCCACACCCAGCCAGGACCTGGCCACACCCACCCATGACCTCTCTGCCTCTGACTTCCTTAAGAAGCTGGATTCACAGATCAGCCTGTCAAAGAAAGCTGCTGCTCAGAAGCTGAAAACGAGGGAAAGCAGGGTACCTGGGGGGGATGCAGGTCTCCAGCTGAACTCCCCTCGAATGCAACAACGAGCAGTCCGAGGTCCTGTGCCACTGACCCGGACCTCTCGGACCCAGACACTAGGAGACCAGGAGGATGAAATCTTCAAGCTCTGATGTCCCCAGAACTGGTTGAGAGAAGCAGTGTGTTGATGGAGTAACTCGAGGGGCAGAGGAGCCTGAGGTGAGGCTCAAGAACATGGCTTCCCAGCTCACCTCTCAACTCCAGCCATCTTCCCCAGCCCCCTTGCCTATCAAGAGGTCCTTGACCTGGGGCATTTTTATTGGCAAGAGTAGGGGGTGGGTACTAGACCCCTTCCTGGTTCTTGGGCTGAACCTAGACTTGTCCCTTAGATTCAGAAGACTCCTTTTACACCCTTGCTGCCTTCCCTACCCGGTTACCATTCCCTGTCGTTAGAGCAGGGAAGCAGAGGCTCCCCCTCAACTTCCTCCTTATCTCCAGTGATGTCACATAAGTTATTTGGTGCTATATTCAAGTAATATTTATTTGTTTTATTCCTTCCCATTGTTAGCTGACAAGTGAGATTTTGGTAGCCCCTTGGTGGGGGACGTCTGTGAACAGTGAGCCAGTGACTGCTGGCTCCCCACCTCCTTAGTCAACCATGTTCCTGGGACTGGGGCAGCCAGTGAACTAGTGCTGCTGCCGAGAATGGCAGGCTGTGCCGGGCCTTTTCCCCACTGGCAAAGGATTTGCGCTCAGTCTTGACTTAGCAGGTCCCTGTAACTTTCACAACTCTCACTCTGAGGAAAAGCAGAATGGAGGGAGGGGCAGAACTCAACGTTCTACCAGTTCACCTTTCTGATGTGTTCCTCTCCTCAGCCTGTCCTGGGGCTGAGAGATGGAAGAAAGAATGACTTGGGGTTTGAAGAGGGGAACATCTGGGGGAGTCTCTTTGTTATGCCCCTTCCCCAGTAGAGCCCACATGTCTATCCCTTGCTCCTCACTGCATAGTTATTTGCAATTTGTAGCACTGATCTGCAGTACAGTTTGTTTGTTTCTTAAACAGAAGAAGTAGGCAAGGGTACCCCAGTGATGCTGGAAAATATGCCTCAGTCAACTGTATGGAAATGGTAAGAGGTGAGATAAGTGGTGTTTACATCCCTCCTTTCCTGTGGTGATCACAAGGTCTAAGAAGCTGGAGATATTAAACATTGAGCCCTGTGCAAAAAAAAAAAAAACAACCTTAAGTTGGGCCCATCATCCTCTCTGATTCCTAGCTCACCACACAATCCCTTCTCCACTTGTACTCTGTCATTGCTATTTTCTGGCCTCACCAGATGGCTGGACAAGTGGTGCCTGGCCAGTATTGGACTGTGAACCTCCAAAACCATAAGCCACGATAAGCCTCATTCTTTCATAGGTAACTTCTGTCATATATTTCATTGTTGAGTCAAAAAACTGACTCATACAGTATTTATAAGTGAAATCATAGTATACATAGGTGTGGTGCTATCTGAGGTTTCAGGCATCCACTGGACTGATTTTAGGAAAGTATGTGAAGCTTTTAAAATTTATCAGTCCTAAGCAGTTCTAAGTATACACAAATGTATATTGAAAAGAGAATTCCCCAGGAAATCAGAAAGGGCTGAGTTTGAACCCTCACTTCTCTAATAACTTTAGATGTATGACCAAGAGGGTTTTTTTTGTTTGTTTGTTTTTGTTTTTGTTTTTGTTTTTGTTTTTTTTGACAGGCAGAGTGGACAGTGAGAGAGAGAGACAGAGAGAAAGGTCTTCCTTTTTGTCATTGGTTCACCCTCCAATGGCCGCCGCGGCCGGTGCGCTGCGGCTGGCGCACCGCGCTGATCTGAAGCCAGGAGCCAGGTGCTTTTCCTGGTCTCCCATGCGGGTGCAGGGCCCAAGGACTTGGGCTATCCTCCACTGCACTCCCGGGTCACAGCAGAGAGCTGGCCTGGAAGAGGGGCAACCGGGACAGAATCCAGTGCCCCGACTGGGACTAGAACCCGGTGTGCCGGCCCTACAAGGCGGAGGATTAGCCTAGTGAGCCACGGCGCCGGCCTCAAGAGTTGTTTCTTAATGTTATCAACCTTCAATTTATTCAGTAGAAATGGGAATAACTCTTCTATGACTGAGATGTATGTAATGAGAAACAAAATCAAGGGCAGAGAAGACAGGGGTAGTACAGTTGGTCAGGAATCAGAAGTTCAGCTACAGCTAGGTGAACACAAGGAGAACTATACAAGATAAAACCACATAGGTGATGGGTACTTCCTAGGCAATGGATAGAGTTTGGATTTTACTTCTGATGTGAAGCTATTGTAGAGTTTTGAGCAAGGGTGGGTTGTGATATGATTTTTGTCCTACCAAAACCAATGCCTCCATGATACTTTGAGTTAAGATTGTAACAATGAGGCTGGCATTGTGCCATAGCAGGTAAAGCCACTGCCTACAGTGCCAGCATTCCACATGGGCACCAGTTCATGTCTTGGCTGCTCCACTTCTGATCTAGCTCCCTGCTGATGGCCTGGGAAGGGCAGTGGAAGATGGCCAGTGTTTGGGCCCTGCACACATGTAGGAGACCTGAAAGAAACTCCTGGCTCAGCCTGGCCCAGTGCTGACCACTGCAGCCATCTGGGGATTGTCCCAATGGATGGAAGATCTCTCTCTCTCTCTCTCTCTCTCTCTCTCTCTCTCTCCCTCCCTCCCCCCTCCCTCTCCCTCTCTCTCTCCCTCTCTCTCCCTCTCCCTCTCTCTCTCCCTCTCTCTCTCTCTCCCCCTCCCTCTCCCTCTCTCTCTCTCTCCCTCTCTTCCTCTCTTCCTCTCTTCCTCCCCCCCTTCTCTCTGTAACTTTGACTTTCAAATCTTGAAAAAGAAGAAGGAGAAAGAAGGAGAAGAAAGTAACAATGGATATAGCACTGGACAGATTTTAGATTCCTTTTTGGGATAAGACAGTAGGAGTTAGTTGAGGAGTATGAGAGAAAGGAATTAAGGAATATGCCTAGAATTTGTGTTTAAGCAACTGAATGGTACAGACCACTGGAATCAAGAGTTTTGCCTAGATCTCTGAAGTATCCTTATATTTCCCATATGTTTATGTAGACATTTAAACAATGCTTTTTATTTGTAAAGTTGTGGACTGTGCCTGTTTCCTTTAAAGCAATCATGCGAAAAGTCCTTAAGCCACTTTGATAAACTGTATTTGTCTAATTTCTAAACCAAATCATTATGAGTATTTATTATTCTTATATTTTGGTCCTACCTAGATTTCCAAGACTGTTATCAGTTTAACCACTTTGTTAGGATTGTCACTTTATTCAAGGATAAAAGGCACTAATTTGCATTCATCTACAGTGACAAGATTATGCAGATTATGTTAACTCTGGGAAGAACATTAATCAAAAATGGTAATCAAATGCTCATGGTGTAGTTTTGAGGAATTATTTAATTATTAGCCTCTTCCTAATTATTGCATATAAGTGGATATGTTTGAGTGTAATGATTAACTCAGTTAATTTTTTATACTTGTTGTCTTTGAGTAATACAAACAATTGTATGACTATACAAACAGTTGAAATTAAAAGAGTAAGGAATTAAAGAAACATAATTGGAATAGGTTCTATTTAATAGCACAATTGTGATTATTACAGCTATGCAAGCGCTGTTTTTGAAGATGATCTCCACTACTTTCCTCCATATCGGTAGTCCTGATGGTTAAAACCTATCATAAAGTTAGCCTGAGAGAGTGAGGAGGGGAACCAAGGAATAGAGGTTCGTTCGTTCTTTCTTTCTTTGTTTCTTTCTTTCTTTCTTTAAGTATTTATTTATTTACTTGAAAGAGTTACGCAGAGAGAGGAGAGGCAGAGAGAGAGAGAAAGGTCTTCCATCTGCTGGTTCACTCCCCAATTGACCACAATGACTGGAGCTACACCAATCCGAAGCCAGGAGCCAGGAGCTTTTTTTGGGTCTCCCACATAGGTGCAGGGGCCCAAGGACTTGGGCCATCTTCTACTGCCTTCCCAGGCCATAGCAGAGAGCTGAATCGAAAGCAGAGCTGCCGGGACTAGAACCGGTGCCCATATGGGATGCCAGCACTGCAGGCGGTGGCTTTACCCGATATGCCACAGCGCCGGTCCCTAGAGGTTCTTTCTCTGGGCCAGAATTTGTGCTAGGTTCCTCACATCTTCTTTCATGCAGTCCAAAGTAGTTGCTATTATTTTACAGAAGAGGTCTAGGAAAAGATAAATGACTTCTTCAAAGTGGTTTCAGGTGATATGTATAAGATATGAATCTTGATTTGCCAGTCCCTGACCACAAAGCCCAAGATTCCTTCATTTCATAACTGCACAGAAGAAACAGGACAAAAATATAAAGAACATGGTAAGTAGATGAGCAGTGGGTAACCCTAGAACTATTAAAGCAGTATTGTCTGCCTTCCCACATCATTTCTTGCTGTCTTCCTGTCTCTCACTGGGCTTTGGCTGACTTAACCTTTCTACTGATCCCTCTACTTAGAATATTCTTCCCTCTATTCTCTGCCTGGACAACTCCTTTTCCTTCAGATCTCAACATGTTAGTCATTTTTTTGGAGGATGGAGACTTTAAGGTCTTTTCATACAAGTCTTAAAGCACTGTGTTTTTCTTTCATTGAATATGTCATAATTGCAGTGATGCAATTATTTGAGTAATTGCTAGTTTGGGCCACAAACTATAGGTTCCATAAGACGGGGTCTGTCTTATATATCAGGCTTTTTAATACCCAACATTTTTAATCAAAGATGAATCTTATTGGATATCTATTTTTAAATGAGATGTTTGAAAATACCATTCTATGAAGTAATATTTTCCTAATGTCATAACCTAAATTAAGAAATATTGGAAAATTTCTATACCTAGCAAATAACTAACTGAGCATAGAAACCATTGGTTAAATGAATACATTTCCAGGCCAGCTTTGTAAGTGATTTAATACTTGCCAAGTGACCTGCTTTTGTGAATCTTTTAAGTATGCATTGGAGGATGTTTTTAAATATAATTGTTAGGGTCCAAAAAAGCCCACCGCCCAAGGAACGACTTTAAGAGACTTTTTCTCTCATGCAACCAGCAAAGGGTTAAATTTATTGATCCAACATGTTGGGGCCCTCTGACAAGGACAGAGGAGCAGTGAGGAACTACAGCATAGGGTTTATAAAGGCAAAAACCGCAAAATCGGGAGGGGGAGAGAATACACGGTTGCTAAGCGGTTGCTAAAATCTTACAATCAGCAATTATGATCTTAAGACATAGACAAATCACATCTTCATTATTAGCCCAGGTAACCCAGGTGCAACCTTTCTACTTTTAAGCTTGAGCAATCATGCTAGGGGATTTTTGTGCTCTGCCAAGGGTGATGTAGTGCACTGCTATTGTCCGACCATTTGAGATCATAGTTTCAGACCAGAGTCTCATGGTGGGGGGGTTGCTTTCCCAGAATGCAGTCTTAAGTGCTCCAAAATGGAGTCCCTACTGTCAAGGTGCTACTTCACTCTGTTTTATTTTTACAGCTGCACCAGGAAGGTTTAAACCTGTAAGCTTAAGCTTAACTTTTTACACCCACACATATACAATTTTAACTCTTCATAATGAGTTTAAACCATTTAGTCATTGTCTCTTAAAAAAATAAATAAATGTAGAAGCTAAGAAATATTTTACAAATTCAATATGTGGAAACACAGTTGTTACTTTTGACAGTCATTATGAAATGCTGTTATTGGAGAATTTCTTTTTATGGAATTTCCTAAAATAATAATTTTTAATTTTTCTTGAAGCAAAATCAACTCTTTTAATTCATGAAAAATTAATGTTCCATAGGAAAAGTGTTACTTGAATGTCTAATGAGCTATTAATTTTCAATAAAACCATGAAGATTAATGGGTTCACTCTGGGGAAAATGGCACTCAGCTTGAAACAAGATATTTTAAGAAACTTCATATGTGCACTTGTGTAGTTTTAAAAATTCACTTTTTGAACATAACTATTTCTGAAAGGTGTAGTCTTTGATGTTAAGTTTATCTTAATAAAGGAGCAATGTAAGTTACACTGAGAAATCCTTGTTGTAATGATTAATGGTACTAATATTTGGGCATGAAGGAAGTTATATTATTTTCATGTCATAGCCCAACTCTGTAGAATGTTAATTTTTAAGAACTCTCCTGATCTGGAATACAGTCATTGTTTAATAAAAGTT